AATTCGGTAACCTGCCCACCGCAGCCCTGCGCTGGCCAGCGACTTTCCAATGTAAGAATGTGGGCTTCTCTGACCTGAGGAGCCTTGCAAGACCTGGTGTCCATTTCCCAAGCCGTGTCATCGGCAGGGCCCTGCGATGTGACTTTTTTGGCTAAAGGAGGGGTCGCTTCTAGGGGGTGCTTGGGGTTGGGCGAGGAGGTAGAGTTGTGTGACCTACTGTCGCCGCTTGTATTTCATGCACACGGCTTGGGAGTGGCAGGTCCTCACGTTGACGGGGGGCATGGCCTGTGAATCAATTGTCGGGACTTCACGAGGCTGGGGTCCCCAGCTGCCAGGGGCTCCTGCTTGGAGGTTATATGCAGATTGGGGATCTATGCCTTGATCCCCTAGCTCAGCGGCCCTCCTGCCCATCACAGTCCCAACTCTGGTGGTGCAACACCTCTGTCTGACCCTTCGTGTCACCTGACACCACACACCGTGACCGACACTGTGACGACGGCCGAGTGGATGCCTCGTACCCCCGTCTCCCTAACTCTGCATCAGGGGCTGTCCCCGCTCCCCCAACCCCTGCAGCCAAAACGACTTCCTGCAGCCTTAAAAATCTCAGCCTCCTCCCGGGGGTGTATGTGAAGGGGAAGGCCTAATTCAAGTTCAAGTTGATTTCTAGGGAGCCCCGATTACTCTATGCCAGAGGCTGCCCTTAGAACTTCAAAGTGAGAGTATCTTTATATACTAACAAATTCAGTGACGAGGTGTGACATGGACAGATTCTGTGAACACAGCAAGGGTATCTGAGTATTTGGGGGTGAGAGTCCAAATGTTTTAGTTGCTTTAACACTAAAGTCAAATTATATATATATATATATATATATATATAATATATATATAATATATATGACATCTTAAGATACAATGTGAGACCGGGCGCGGTGGCTTATGCCTATAATCCTAGCTCTCTGGGAGGCCAACGCAGAGCGGATGTATTTTCAGGAGATCAAAACCATACCTTGATCAAGAGACAGAAAACCAGTTACCTGTGGAGAAAATGATGCGTGCGTCACCCTAGACCCAGCAACCTGCAGGACCTCCCCGGCTCAAGCGAGTCCCTCCTCGCCTCCATGCTCTCCAAAGAGCCTGGCCGCCACACGTGATCTGACCCACCATGAACCACCCGAACATCCATTGGCTCAACTTCATAATATATTATTTTCATAGAGTGGAGACCAAATATGAGACCGTGCCTTATTCTTTTCACAGGCCATAGATCGCGCGCGCAGCGCTACTCTGAGTGGCCCTCAAGGGTTGGATTCGCTTGAGCCCAGGAGTCTGAGGTGCTGTGACTAGCTGACGCCACGACACTACTCTTGCCTGGGCAACAAAGTGAGACTCTGTCTCCAAAAAAGAAAAAAGATACAATATGGTCAGTTTCGTTGTCCCTAATTTGCTGCCAACCATGTGGCGGATCAGGTCGCTGTGAGCAGGGCTGAGCCAACTTGGAATTGCCTGACTGTTAAAAGACGGCTTTGGCCGCATCTCGGACTTGACAGTGGCCTTAGCTTTGGGAATATGTAAGATCTTTCAACAGTGCAGCTTCAAGTAGCAAGTGAGAGAGCTGCCTTGGGGTTCTCTCAAGACTGGGGATCATGTTGGGGAGAAATTTTGTTTGTTTCTTCTGAAAAATAAGGCAAGTTTAAAATTTTATGATTTGGGGGGGAGAGGTTTAAATTCAAGATGGCCTCTGGGGAAGTGAAACTAATGTGCTCCCGTGTCACCTGCCGGGTCGCAGGTTTGTTGAGTTTATCGACAGGGATTAAACCAAAAGCCATGGGAAAACCACTTCCCACCTCTGCGGGGTACTGAGGCAGGAAGCAGCCACCGACCAGTGCCTTCCTCCTTAACCTTAGCTTTTAGCGTCTTGTCTTGCCACGGGCAGTTTTGGTGGGAAATTGCCAGGAACACAATGATTTGGGAGTCCTGCTGTTTTTTTGTTTTCTTTGGTTTCTCCTGGGATCATATTCTTGCATGTTTCTGTCCTACTCTTAGAAAAACAGTAAAAGGGTGAAATTTGGTCTCAGGGTTGAAGCGATCACTCTGCTACTGGCTCCCCACCCGGGAATACTGAAACACACTACGGAGCAAGTTCCCAACTGGCCGCTTATGCCCTGAATGTGGTTCTTCTGTGCCAGCGAGTCCCTGACATCCGATTTGGAAGGACTTGCACTTCTCTCTGAATTAAGAAAAATTAAATTAAATCTGTTATGCCCAAATGTGTTTGTTCTTTTATTTCCCTTTGGTGACATTTGGTTTCCAGGAAAGGGTGCAGTTGGTTCACAGCTAAGTAGGTGGCCACCTGCCCCTGGCTGGATTGTGGTCACTGTCTTGACCCTGCAAAGCTTCACTGCCTGGGGGGCAGGGAGGCCAGTGAGTGTTTCCTCAACTAATCCTAGAGAGAAGGTCAGTTCTCCGCAGCAGCCAGAGGGCACCTGGCCTGACAGACACGTCCCGCCTCTGCTCAGAACCATCCGTGGCTCCCACCTTCCTTGGAGTAAATGCCAGACTCATCCGTGTGGCCCAAAAGGCCTTGCATAATCTGACCCACTGTGTTTCCACTTGCCTTCCAGAACTTACTCCCTTCCAGCTACATTGCTGCTATTTGAACACACCAGGCTTCTGCCTCAGGGCCTTTGTACTGGCTGTTCTCGCTACTTGGACTTACCCTAGGGTGTATTGCACCTTCTCATTCCCCGACCCCATCTAGAAATCCCCTCCTCCAGCATTTTTTCTTTTCTTGTCTTTCTTTTTAATATTTGAGACAGGGTCATGAAGCCCCATTGCTCAGTCTAGAGTATAGTGGCATCATCATAGCTCACTGCAACCTCAAATTCCTAGGCTCAAGCAAGCCTCCTGTGTCAGCCTCCCAAGTAGCTGGGACTACAGGTGCATGCCAACATGCCCGGCTGATTTTTCTATTTTTGTGTACTCTATAGATGTACTCTATTTTTTTGTACAGACGGGGTCTCACTTGTACTCAAGTGAGTCTCGAACTCCTGGCCTCCAGTGATTCCTACCCTCCCCCCCACGCCCCTGCCTTGTCCTCCTAAAGTGCTAGGATGACAGGCATGAGCCACCACACCTGGTCCCCCAGCATTTCTGATCTCCCTTCCCTTGCACATTTTTCTCCATGGCCCTGAACATGTAAACTACTGTATCGTTCATTTAACCTCAGAGTGTCCCTCACTGTCATATCAGCCCCTCAGGTGCAGGGATTTCTGTCTTTTTCACCGCCACACCCAGCTCTGTTCCTGACTGTGGTGTCACAAAATATAAATATTTGGTCTTTGTCTGCTGTGGTGGTTCCTGGCACTCAGCTCCTAAACCCGGGAAATTTCTGCCGAGATCAGAGTGTCTTTTGTATGCTAATGAGGGAGTTGGAGATTGGGGGCCACTGGGCAGTTTCAGGATGGCATTTGGTTCCTAGAAAGACCCAGGTGGCAGGATTAGAGGGTGGGAACATTTTGTTCCCCTCGCCTCCCCAAACCTCCCCCCTGCCATCATCTGCAGGGAGGGAAGCCTGGCATCTGAAGCGAGGGCGGTTTTGTGGGACTGAACCCTTAAACTGTGGAGTGGCACACTCACTCCCGATAATCGGTGTCAGAATTGAATTCAAATGTATGACATCCAGGCCAGGCGTAGAGGCTCACGCCTGTAATCCTAGCACTCTGGGAGGCCGAGGCGGGAGGATTGCTCAAGGTCAGGAGTTCAAAACCAGCCTGAGCAAGAGTGAGACCCCGTCTGTACTATAAATAGAAATAAATTAATTGGTCAACTAATACATATAGGAAAATTAGCCGGGCACGGTGGTGCATGCCTGTAGTCCCAGCTACTCGGGAGGCTGAGGCAGGAGGATCGCTTGAGCCCAGGAGTTTGAGGTTGCTGTGAGCTAGGCTGATGCCACGGCACTCACTCTAGCCTGGGCAACAAAGTGAGACTCTGTCTCAAAACAAAACAAAACAAAACAAAAGGTACGACATCCAGTAGGGTGTCCACAGAGAACTGGAGAATTGGTTGATGTGGAAAGCCCCCATATGTTTGGTGTCAAAAGTGCTGTGGGGAAAAACAGTTTCTGACGTACAGCAGGAAACTCCTTGGATGTTTGTTGAGTGAATACATGAACTGCAGAGCCCAAAAGTTGAGCTAGGTCCGGAGACTGGCGTACTGTCCCAGGTCCCTCAACTCTGCCCTCTGTGCTTTCCCCATGAGGTGGCCCCCCTGAACCAGACCGGCTGCCAGGGAGCTGCTGCTTCCTAGTCGACCAATTCAAAGCCTCCCAACTGAGCCTTGTGGGTCATTTGGGTCCTGCTCCCATGCCTGAACCAATCACGGTGGTTGGAAAAAGGGATGTGCTGATTGGCCAATGTGGACCCCGTGCTCAACTGTGAACCAATCACTGTGGCCAGAGAGGTAAACTGTGTTGATTGGCCAATGTGAATCCCATGCCCAACCCTGAACCAATCACTGTGGCCAGAGAGGTAAACTGTGTTGATTGGCCAATGTGAATCCCATGCCCAACGCTGAACCAATCACTGTGGCCAGAGAGATGGACTGTCCTGATTGGTCAGCAGGCATCACGTGCCCACCCCTGTTTTAGGCATGGACATCTGAGAGGTGGGCTGATTGCAAAGAAAAATACAGTCACGCGTCGCTCAATGATGCAGATGTGTTCTGAGAAATGCATTCTTAGGCGATTGTGTTGTGTGACATCACAGCACTGTGACATCACAGTGTTCTTACACAAACCTAGTGGTGTAGCCTACCACACGCCGAGGCTATAGGTTATTGCTCCTAAGCTACAAATGCTTGTGTATCTAAACACAGAAAAAGTACAGTAAGAATACAGTATTGTAATCTTATGGGACCACTGTCTGTATTCCATCCATTGTGGACCCAAACATCGTCATGCCGTGCATGACTGGAGGTGCATTCTTGCAAGAACTGGGAGCTTGATTGCAGTGATAGCAAACATGGCACGTCCTCATTTTGCCCTTCTCAAAAATCTCCCCAAAAGAAAGATGAGGAATTAGATAAACCACCATTTTGCAGCCCCTAATGGAAGAATTGGTTCGGGCTGCTGTGGTCCCTTGGTTTATTGATTCTCGCCACACCTTAAAACCACCTAGGTCATTCCCACGCCCAGGCCAATTAAATCAGAAGATTGGGAGCTGGGGCCCAGCATGAGGGAATGCGTTAAAGCCCCCAGGTGATTCTAATATACAGCCAGGGCTGAGAACTAGTGGTTTACAGCAAATATGGGGGTGACAGGAACAAGGTAAGTGACCAACATCACAAAGAAGACAGCAGTGAACCCAGAAGTGTGGCATTCCTTGGACATTTCACACTCTTTCTGCACCAACTCAAAGGTAAGTGGGGTTGAAGAGGAGGAGGAGGAGGAAGAACCTAGAGCAGTGGTTCTCAAAGTGTGTTCCCCAGAGTCTCGGCATGATCATCATGTGGAACTTGTTAGGAATGCAGATTTCTAGGTCCCACCCCAGATCTCCTGAGTTAGAAGCTCTTGGGGTGGCCCAGACACCTGGGTTTTAACGAGCCATGCAGATGATTCAAATGCATGCTCCAATTTGAAAACTATTGGAGTAGAACAAAACAGAGCCGAGAGACATGACAATCAAATGTGATGTGTGGACCTCGTTTAGATCCCAGTTCAAAGAAACCAACTGTAAAAAGACATTTTTGAGCCAGTCAGGAAAGTTTGATGATGTCCTAAGTATTAAGTGATGGCAGAGAACAGCTGTCTCGGGTATGATAATGGCATTGACAACCCAAATTAAGTGACTGGGGCAAAGAACTCAATCAGGCCAGGTGCAGTGGCTCATGGGTATACTCCTAGCATTTTGGGAGGCCAAGGCAGAAGGATCGCTTGAGGTCACGAGTTCAAGACCAGCCTGAGCAAGAGTGAGACCCTAGGCTGCGCGCGGTGGCTCACGCCTGTAATCCTAGCACTCTGGGAGGTCGAGGCGGGCGGTTTGCTCGAGGTTAGGAGTTCAAAACCAGCCTGAGCAAGAGAGTGAGACCCCCGTCTCTACTATAAATAGAAAAAAATTAATTGGCCAACTAATATATATAGAAAAAATCACCCGGGCATAGTGGCATATGCCTGTAGTCCCAGCTACTCGGAGGCTGAGGCAGCAGGATCGCTTGAGCCCAGGAGTTTGAGGTTGCTGTGAGCTAGGCTGATGCCACGGCACTCACTCTAGCCTGGGCAACAAAGTGAGACTCTGTTTCAAAAAAAAAAAAAAAAAAGATGAGACCCTGTGTCAACAAAACATAGAAAAATTAGCCAGGCGTGGTGGAGCATGCCTGTAGTTCCAGCTACACAGGAGGCTGAGGGAGGAGGATCACTTGAGCCCAGGGGTTGGAGGCTGCAGTGTGAGCTATGATCATGCCACTGCACTCCAGCCTGAGAGACACAGGGAGACCTTGTCTATAAAATAATAATAATAATGAAAAACTATTAGACCTGTGTTGATCTAATAAATAAAGAAAAAGAAAAAAAATGCAAAAATATTTTATCTAGAAAAAAGGGGATAGATAAAACAAAAATGTCAAAATCTTTGTGTTGTTGAATCTGAGTGATGGGTTTATGGGGGTTTCTTTGGATGGATTCTCTCAGCTCTTGTGAATGTTCCAGATTTTTTCACAAAGTAATTTACACCACAGGAGAGGTGTGTGAGAAAGAAGGACATGACATTTCATTCAGGTATTTCGGTATTTCAAACTAAAAATCATTGCCTAGTGGTGTGAAAATAAAACTATACAGATGGGAGTCAGGCTGGACAGGGGGTTCCTGAATCTTTTTATTAACAATCTCCCCTCCAAAAGCAGTGAGTGCTGCAGAGGAACAGAAGTGAGACCAGATCTGCAGCATCCAGGTGAGTCCAGGTGTCTTGTCCTCCCCAGCCCTGAGTATCAGCCCAATTTGATGAACAGCAGCAAGGTGGCAAGAATTCCTGGCAACTGAAATGGAAAAAGAAAAAAACATGGAACCCAATGCTAGAGACCTCTAAGCCAGAGTCAAACTAGAGTTATGGGGTCAGAGGGAGCATCTTGTTCTAGAACGGTGAGGGGCAGAGTTTTACAGAGGGGCCAAAGAACTGTCTGGGTCAAGGTGGAGCTATTTTGGTTCTGTTAACTCAGTGAACATGATGGACAGTCTCTTCTGGCCACCCCAGGGCCGTGCGGACTACATTTCCCAGACGCCCCTGCCACCGGACTTCCGGTACGGGTTGACCAATAGGAAGCACCAGAAGGCAATGGTAGAGCGGAAGGAAAGACAGGTCAGGGTATTTCTTCCTCATTCCCTCCCTTGTGCCTGTCCTGACTTCTCCATGGCCACAGTTGAGGCTGCTTGGTCCCTTCCATCGTCCCTTTCTAGATCCCTCAGGGCTAAGAGCAAAAAGCGCTCCCATAGGTTCTAGCCCTCTTCAAACCAAACCGCCTAACCCTTCCACACTTCTGCAGGAGGCCGCTGAAGATCTTAAAAGGAACCCATCTAGGGCAAAGCGCCTCCCTGATAAAAGTCCTTCGGGAAAAATGTGTTGTTATTTACAAACACATTCGTTTAAATTTACAAAAAAAAATATACCCATTTTAAAGAGAGAGTTACGATCACAGGGGTGAGATGCATCCATGTCTGTGCCGTTGATTGCGAAAACCACTGGTTTGAAATCAGTAGAGGGAGCATGAAAAATTTGCCCTTAGGATCCAGCAGCGCAAAAATGTTAACAAAATAATAATTGAAACACATACAACCATACAATACCGCTTCCAAAGTGTAAAATTGCAATGCTTCAGTATACTTCATAGCAGTGGCCAACCATTCACGTACTATTATAATATGCACTTCAGAACACTTTCATAATCCCCCAAAAACATCCAAACCACCTATATAAATCACCCATTTCTTTTCCTCCTGGGCGCCTGGGCTGAGTTCCTGGCTAAGATCTTTCTGGCAAGTCACACGTTCTGACAGTTCAGAACACGAGTAGATCTCTAATGGCTGGTCCATAGTAAGGTCTCGATACCTCTCATGGTGCACGAGAACTCACACCTTTTCCAGCCAGCGTCCCCTACTCTCGTCCTCCAATCCTGAACAATAATCTGCTTATATGAATCAGTTCACACTGCATGGCAGGGCATGGTGCCAAGCCTGGACATGCATCAACCTCATCGACAACTCACGACAAACCACTGGCAGCTCGTTTCGGCAGATGGGGAGGCCAAGGCCTGACCCCAGGACACTGGTGCAGAACATAGGAATGTGGCTAAAGTCTGATCCCAGCTCTTGCCACTCCAGCCCCCACCAAAGTAATGAAGGAACAAGGCCTTCCATAGCTGGTACCAGGGCATGTCCAGTTCGCCTGTCCCCCACCCCTGGATCAAGGCGGATGAGGCCCCCCAGAACCCTCATACTTTCCCCCTTTCTTGGTGAGCGATTAAGGACACCTTCTGCTTAAAATGATCCCCACTCTCCTCCTCCCTGTATTTCTCCTTAACTCCCTTAACACTTCTCACTGTCAGACTATATGTTCTCCAATCTTAAAAATCATGTCTCTTGGGCAGGCACGGTGGCTCACGCCTGTAACCCTAGCACTCTGGGAGGCTGAGGCAGGAGGATCACTGGAGGTCAGGTGTTCGAGACCAGCCTGAACAAGATTGAGACCCTGTCTCTACTAAAAATAGAAAAGAGTAGCCAGGTGTGGTGGTGCACACCTCCAGTCCCAGCTACTCGGGAGGCTGAGGCAGGAGGATCGCTTGAGCCCAGGAATGTGAGGTTGCTGTGAGCTAGGCTGATGCCACAGCACTGTGGCCAGGGCAACAGAGCGAGACCCTGTTGCAAAAAAAAATAAATAAAATCATGTTTCTTTTCTGTTCCCTTGATTAGAACATCAGCTCCATGAGACCAGGGATTTTTGCCTGTTTAGTTCATTTGCTGTGTCCCTGGTACATACAAAACTGCCTGGCACAACAGTAGTTGCTCAATAAAGTTTGAGAAGTATAAAACATGAATGCTAAAAAAATGCTTTGAATGGCTTCCCATCATACATAAAAGCCAGACCCCTCCCTGTGGCCTGCGTGGCCCTGAATGATCTGTCCCCATTAACCCCGACCTTCATCTCCCTCAACGACCCTCCAACCTCACTCCGCTCCTGCCACAGGGGACTTCCTGCTGGTCCTTGAATGAACCAAACTTATTTCTGCCCCAGGACCTTTGCACTAGCTGTTCCCTCTGCATGCCCCCATATACTCACGTGGCTTTCCCTTCCCCCTCCTTGGGTGGCTAGTCAAATGTCACCTCCTTTGGGAAGCCCTCCCTGATTCCCTTCCCTCTCGCATCACCCTGTTTTTACTTCCTTCTCACCAAGTACCTTTAAGTGAAATAATTATCCCTCCCTTCCCGCCAGAATAGAAGCTCCACCGTGGCAGGGATTTTGGGCTTCTGCTCACTGCTGTGTCCCCAGTGCCCAGGACAGAGTTGGGCACACAGCAGGTGCTTAATAAAAGAGCTCAATGTGTCCCAGAGAGGCTGGGTCTTACCTGCATCATTGCTGCCCCCAGAGAGCCCCCACTCAGGGTGAAACTCTGAGCCTTGGTTATTCTCAGGAGCTTGCGGAAACAGCCCTACGGACACAGACGGCAAAGCGGGCGAGGGCTGGTTAGTCTCCACCAACTTGGGCCACCCAGATCCCTCTGCGACTCAGAGAGGAGGTGACAAAGCCATGGGGGCCTTGGCTCTTTCTCGTTTGACTGCCCCCCACACCCCATCACCTCCCCTGGCCTCCTCATCCCCCCCTGACTCCCTCCCTTCTCCCCATCTGTGCTGGCATTCAATTGCGCCTGGACATCCTGGGTTATTACGAGCTGTGCAATCTTGGAGAAGTTGCTATACCTCTCTGTGCCTCAGTTTTCCCATCTATAAATGCGACCAACTGGATCTGCCTCATAGAATTTTTTTTTTTTGAGGATTACAAGAAAGAATCTACATGAAGTACATTGCAGTAGCCTGACACACGGCCAGCGTTCAGTAACTGTTAGTTATTTCTGAGCACTCTTTACATATGAACAGGAGGGCTGACATGTATTCAATGGCTTCTCAGCCCTTTATATGTATTTTCTCACGCAGGTCTCACTACAACTGGTGAGGCGGGTACTGTTCTTTTCTCTGTTTTACAGGTGACGAAACTGGAGCTCAAAGACATCAGGAGAGCAGAGAAAGTGGGGGGTGGGACCTTGCTCTCCTTCGTGGGGTCACCAAGCTTCTGCCTCCTCTAGACCCCTGGCACTTCTCGCTTGTGGAGGCTTGGGCCACCTTGAGCTTACTGTTGTCACTGTTCGGTGCTCCCCTTCGCATAATAGGTATTTATTAAGTGCCTACTGTATGCTGGGTACTGAATTGAGCACCAGGACCCAGTAGTGTATAAAACAGACAAAATTCCTGCCCTCATGGGACCAACATTTGAGCTGGGGGGAAAACAGGTGACAGTGAGCACAGTGACAACACTGTCAGGTGGCAATAAATTCTGGAAAGACCCAGAGGCAGGCGGTGAGGCTGGGATGTGGTGCTCGGAACGGGGGTCCTCTTACAGACAGGGAGTCAGGAACAGCCTCGCCAAGGAAGCGACATCTGAGCACAGACTTGAAATAGGCGGGGTAGGAAGACGTTTGGGGGGAGAATGTTCCAGGCAGAGGGAACAGCCTGTGCAAAGGCCCTGAGGCAGGTGGGCGCCTGGTGATTGGAGCAGTGGCAAGGAGGTCAGGGCGGCTGGAGCAGAGTGACCGGGGAGGAAAGGAGGCGACAGGCAGGTCGTGCAGGGCCCCTGTCTGTTTCCGAGGCTAGGAGCCATTCGGCGGGAATGAATGAATGAACAAATGATTCGTATTTCTTCCCTCAGCAGAAGATCACTGCATTCATTCAGTCGTGGCAGAAATTAAGGGGACACTGGGTGGGGTTTGAAGTCAAGTTCCACGACTCTCTGGCCATGGAAAAAACACACTCTGTGCCTCAGTTTCCCCATCTGCAAATGGAGAGAAGAGTAGTCCCCACCTCAAGGGGTGCAATGTGACAAAATTCACATTGTGTGTGAATGTGTGTGCTCGGTCATGTGGCCGGCTGTCACTGTCACCAGGATGGCTACACTTTTCATCATTATCGTGATGGTGTGTGGAGGGCAGGCAGTGCAGCCCAGGCGACCGGCTCAGGCCAGCACAGGTTCGAGTCCCAACCGCGCCAGAGCCACGTGACCTTGAACCGCTCACCTCACTTCTCTGAGCCTCAGTTGCCCCATCTGTGAAACGGGAGGGTAACCGTACCCCCCACCCCCACCCCCAAGGCTCTGTTGTCAATGCGAGCTGAACCCTCAATGGCGCTGTCTCCCCCCCGCCCCCCACTGCCGGGTCCCCTGGAATTAGCAGTTTTGATAAAAGCCACCAGCCCTGGGGTCTGGTGAGGTACCTCCTGGTGGATGACGCTGGCGGATGCGTTGTGGCCGTCGCAGGCCGAGGTGCCCATGGATCTGCAGCAGCCCCGGGGGTAGGCGTGGCCGGTCGTCATTTCGAAGGAAGAGCCAGAAAAATCTGTGTAATTATTCACCCCACAGCACTTCAGCTGCGGAGAGGAGAAGAAGCGCTTCAAACACCCTCTTTGGAATAATAAAGCCATCGAAACAATAGAAACCCTGGTCACCATGGTTACCGTCTAGCGCAGTCACCACATTCCAGGGCTCTCCTCTCACTCACTCGTAGTAGAAACTGGACTCCTCTCCGGGGCCCACAAGGCCCTGCACACGGTCTGCCTCTGTCGCGTCCCTGCCCCCGCCTCCCCCCAACGGTCCCCCTTGTTCATTCAGCTCCAGCCTCACTGGTTTCTTTGCTGTTCCTTAAACACACTCAGCGAGCTCCAGCCTCGGCCCCAGGGCCTTTGCACATGCTATTGCCTTTTTTGGAATTTTCTTCTTTCAAATTTCTTTCTTTTCTTTTCTTTCTTTCTTTTTTTTTTTGAGACAGAGTCTTGCTCTGTCACCCAGGCTAGAGCACAGTGGTGTCATCATGATTCACTGAAGCTTCAAACTCCTGGGCTCAAGTGATCCTCCTGCCTCAGCCTCCCAAGTAGCTGGGACTACAGGCACACGCCACCATGCCACACCCGGCTAATTTTTATTTTTTTTATTTTTTGTAGAAATGGGGTCCTGCTATGTTGCCCAGGTGGGACTTGAACTCCTGGGCTCATGCGATCCTCCCGCCTCGGCCTCCCAAAGTGCTAGGACTACAGGCGTGAGCCGCCACACCTGGCCTGGCTGATTTGTTTTTCTTCCTAGCACTTGGCAACCTTGACACCAATGTTTATTTAGTGGCTTCTTGTCTCTCCACTCAAGTGTCACTACCAGAAGAGTGAATACTTTCTGCGCGCTCCAATGTGGCCCAAGAGTCCCGATGGCGCTTGGCACATAATAAGTGCTCAATAAATACTAGTTGAAGGGCTCTAAGAAGGAGCGAGGGACGTGCTCTACCATTTCAAGCGTGAGAAGCCAAAACCATCGTGTATACAAGCACCATTCCCACCCATGTCCCTTCCACAGCCTGGGCATGACCCCGCAGCAGCGCCTGGCCCGCAGCTCAGGTGTGAGATGCTTCTAGAAACACGCTGTGACGTTTCCCTTCCAAAGCCTCCCTGGCTGTCCACAACCACCTGCCCTGAAAGCTCAGATGACACCTCGAGACCGGTCTTGTTCCTTCAACACCAGGGGTCAAGAGGGGAGTCTCGCCACCTCACACCCGTTAGGATGGTGATGACCAAAAAGACCAGAAAATGACAAGTGTTGGCGAGGAGGAGGAGAAAGTTGAGCCCTCGTGCATTGCCGGTGGGATTGGGAAACGGCGTGGCCACCTTGGAGGAGGGTCTAGCAGTGTCTTAAAATTTTTTTCACATAGAATTACCATATAACCCAGCAAATCCACTTCTGGGCATATTCCCAAAAGAAGTGAAAGCAGGGACTCACGCGGACATTGGCACGCCCGTGCTCATGGCAACGCTATGCACAGGGGCCAAAAGGTGTGAGCATCCCAAGTGTCCACTGATGTAAAAATACGAGGACAGAATGTAGTGTGCCCACACAGTGGAATATTATTCAGCCTTAAAAAGGAAGGATGTCGCTAGGCAAGCATGGATGGCTACATGCCTGTGAACTCCCAGCACTTTGGGGGCCTGAGGCAGAGGATCGCTGAGTGCCAGGAGTTTGAGACCCGGCACCTGGACAACAATAGCAAGACCCATTTCTAAATAAAAAAAATTTTCTTTAAATTAGCCAGAGCCATGCTGGTGTGCCCTGTACTCCGCCAGCAACTCGGGAGGCTGGGCAGGAGGATCACTTGAGGCCCAAGAGTCTCGAGGTTGCAGTGAGCTATGATCAGCACCACTGGCACTCCCGCCTGGCCAACAGAGTGAGACCCTGTCTCTAAAATTAAAAAAAAAAAAAAAAAGCAAAGGTCAATTTCATGTTATGTGTATAGCTTTCCCACAATTTTTCTTTTTGGGAGCGAGGCCCACCTTCTCCATGACAAAGTTCCATTCCGTGGTGTAGTCGTCCGGCTCGTTGTACCCTCTGTAATTCTTCCGCAGGGTCATGAAGGTGTGCTCCAGCGCCACGTCCCGGACCTGCTGGCACGGGGACCCAGGAGCGATGGCACCGCGCCTGCAGGGGCCGCACCTGGCGAGGTTCTTGGGGACACGAGCAGGGCCGGCGGGGCCTTCCTTCCTTCTGCCTCCTGGCCCTGCCAGCCTCAGCGCCTGGTGACCTAGAGGCGGGGCCACGTCGGCTCCCGCGCCCCACGACAGAAACAGTGGAAGAGCATGGGAATCTGGCGGTTCCCGTCCGCAAAGGCGTCTGAGCCTGTCTGCGCTCTCTCTGTGTCGCACCACAGCCGCCGACCGCCCCCCGGCCGCACTAACTTCAGCAGAGACTACAACGTCCGCCTCACCAAGCTCAAAATCTCTATCTACGCAGACAGGGGCCACGTTAATTTTCTGATTTTTTAAATATAAGGTTTTAAAAAGTCCCCTCTCCCGCCCCGCCCGCCCGCTCAAGAGTGATAGACCACGTGTCCGGAACTGAGCAAAGCACGACGAATGAGACCACGGAAAGCTTCCTCCCGCCCTGTGCCCCAGCCAAAACAGGTCCTCCCACTCCGTGCGATGACTGTCACTGTTTCCTGCGGCCCCAAAGACACGCTCTGTGTGTGTCAAGGCAAAGTGCATTTGCGGTCTTTTTCCTCCTTGTTTTCTACCGCGCCCCTTGCCCTGCAGGTGGCTGTCGCGACAAGAGTAGCAGGTGCTCTCGGTGGCCCGCCCGTGACCCCCAGGCCCCGACGAGTTCTGTGCCGGCTGGCCACGTTGCCAGCAAGAGAGGGGTCCCTGGCCTCTGAGCCCGAGTGTGCCCCGGGAGCGTGCTCTATGCTGCGTCCCAGATGTCCCCAACAGGACTGAGCTTGGTGGCTCATTCTGTCACCTTTCGTGGGCTGCCCGCCCTTTTCTGCCCCACTTCTGTTCCCTTCAGATTCAGTATGTCCTGGGGTCACTCCCAGATCGGCCCCCCGCCTTTGCATTCTGGCTTCAAGGGCAGAGTCTGGGGACACCCCGATGACGTCAGCACTCTAATCCCGAGAACATTCCATCAGGGCCCCAGGGAGCTGCCACCTGCCCTGTGGCCGGGTGTGCAGGACCCCTTGGTGCGGGTGTGTCAGAACTCACTTCCACACGCTCACTAAGCGGTTCGCAGGCTTTTGCACACCCCGGCGTGGACTCGTTCTGCACGACGGCGCGTCCCCAAACCCCGGCGGGGGTTTTGAGGCCTCAGACGGGAAGGCTGAGGTTGTCAGCCTTTCACTTCACCTCTGGGGCCACGTGGCGTCCTTGGGACCCCCACAAGTGAGCACGGAGCCTGGGGGGCTCCAGACGGGAGGGGTGGCCTTCCGGCGACTCTGTTTCTTTCTAACGCCACGTGGGGGAAACAGCGCACTTACGATGGGGAAGAACAGAAGGACCACCGTGGCCGCCGTGATTTCCACCACGAGGATGATGACCAGGACCAGGAAGCACTGGAAGACACAGGGGACAGAGGGGGTTGGGAGCCTGCCCAGCCGCGTCCCTGCCTTGCACCGGGCGTCGGGCGCTCAAGGCTGCTTTGGGGACCCGCAGGCCGGGCCCCCATTCCTGGCAGCCGGAGGGGGCCCTCGGGGGCCTCAGAGAGCAGGCGCTGGTGGAGATGCAGGAGGGGCGATCAGCAAGGACAACAAGCCCCACAACGGGATGGAAAGGCACGCCGCACCGGCAGCAGGTGGGTGGTGCGGGGCAGGGGTGGGGCGGGGAGCATAACGTCTCCCGGCTTCGTTTTTCCAGTGCAATTCCATCCCACGGGCCGGAGCACGGAATCGCCCACAGAGGGGAGGTCTCCCAGCGACACATGGGGAGAAAGCGGCTTCGCCTCTGGGCGCTCAGTTCCTCCGCATCTGTATAATGTGGCAGCTGGGCACCAGCTAATTACTTTTTTTTTTTTTTTTTTTTGAGACCACGAGCTCACTCCTGTTCCTGGGCTAGAGTGTTCGTCGGACGTGTTCTAACAAGACAAGCTCAAACTCCTCGGACATCGCAACGCAATCTCCTGCCCCAGCAGCCCCCGAGTAGCGTCGGGACTGAAGCGCGTCGCCGACCCATGCACCCGGCCTAATTTTTTGTCTATGTTTCTAGCTGGCCAAGTGCTAATTTCTTTCTATTTGTATGTATCGAGAGACGCCCCCGCGCCGCTCTCCTCGCAGGCTGGTTCAAACTCCTGACCCTCTTGAGTGATGCCGCCCGTCCTCGTCTCGCTCCCAGAGACGGCTAGGGTTACAGGTGTGAGTCCACCGGCCACCCGGCCCCGGGACCGGACCAGCTAATTCAGGCTTTGAGCGCTAACCTGCCAGTGCTGGGCTTGGCTGGCACCGACAAGGAGAAAACGGGAAAGCGAAGGGGGACTACAACGGCCGGCTCCCCACTCGGCCACCACGTGGGGCAGGGTTCAGCAAGCCGTGAGAACCCACACTGGTGGCTCATGTGACAGACGGTGAGGATGAATGCTCCCTGTCCTCTGGGCTGACTGAGGCGTCCAGCAGATCCAGACGTCCAGGCGTTCAGCAAGTCATAGGGGCTCCAACCTGCAGGCCTACCCCCTCCGATCTGTGTCCACTCACTCATGCGGGACCATCATGCCGCCAACTCAGGTCCAGCCCCCGCACAGGCCTGTTCCCCTCGTAGCCACCAGAGGGCGCGGTGTGACCCAAAGCAGAGTCCAGGCAGGTCCCTCCTCTGCTCACAACCCTTCTGGGGCTCCCAATACCCATTCCAAAAGGGCTTTGCTTCTGTCGACTGCCCTGTAATGCCTAGCACTCTGGGAGCCCCAGGCGGAGGATCGCTTGAGGCCAGGAGTTTGAAGACCCCCCAAGCCTGAGCAAGAGTAAGACCCTTGTCTCTACAAAAATACGAAAAATTAGCCAGGCTTGTGGCACTGAGCCTGTAGTCCCAGCTGCCTCCGGGAGGCTGGAAGGCAGGGAGGATTGCCTTGAGCCCCAGAGTTTGAAGGTTGCTGTGAGCGAGGCGAGGCCACTGCACTCCACCCCATGCAACCAAGTGAACTCTGCTAGAAGAGAAAGAATAAAAAAAGGAAGAAAGAGGCCGGGCACTGTGGCTCCACGCCTGTAATTTCCTACGCCACT